CTCAGAGATTTCGTATCAAGATCATCATTGGTTGGTCTGTAGGGGTTGGAGACAATAAAGCATATACGCTTCGATAATGCGAATGTTATCTATGAAACTCTCGCTAATCTGCAAATGAATTTGAGAAAGTGAGATTAATGCAGCGATTTGCACGGTTAAGAGTAAATCAAGACGACTTTACCAAAAATTGATTTGAAGCTAAAACTATTAGAGGAAGTGGTGAAACGGAAATCGAGACTCCAATTTTTGCCCCACATAAAATGTATTAAGAATCTTCTATTCTACCAAGTTATCCGCATTGGTCCAGTGGTCAGGATTTTTCGCTTTCACCGAGACGGCCGGGGTTCGATTCCCCGATGCGGAAGTTTCTTTTTGGTTTCAGCTCTTTGTGGCGGTGTAGTTTTTGTGCGTAATTTGGTTATGCATGAAACTTCTCTTTTTTGCCTTCGTTACCATTCGTGTTTAGATTTTTTGTTCTGTTCATGCTGTGATTGTGGAAAATTATATTTGGTTGCAACTTCAACATCATGTGTTTCATGAAATTAGATGAGCTTCTGTTTTAATCACTGATATTGCTATCATTACCAGCGACACGTAACTTAATTGAGATGATTATTCCATTCGGTTAAAGATGATTTAGTAAACAAATACTTCAATGACTCAAAAAGGCACATCGAGACATAATAATCCCAAAACTACTTTCCTTACTCACGAAGCGAATAGAATCATTCTATTGAAAGCATTATATCTTTTCCTTTAACTATGCTGAGGGATCTTTATCAGATTGTTTCATCTCAATAGAGTTTTACGAGTCGAAGTCGCATTTAATTTTCAAAGGCACGCAGGCAGCTTTTCGGAACAAGTAGTAGAAAAGATCGAATAGTCTATTCCTGCTTTAGCGCATCACACCCAGAATACAAGCGTGAAGCCTTCTAAAAAGTACACACATGCGATGTTACATAGATTATTCGTCATCACTGAACTATCCCTCCAGGTCTTTGTTTTCATCGTGAGACTGCCTGTAACAATGAAACAGACTGAGAAAGTATGGGAAGCTCCGTAAACCCTTTTAATTATGGTTTCATGAAAAATCCGACTCAATGACTAATCCGCATTGGTCTAGTGGCATTGATTTTTCGTTCTCACCGAGAAGGCCGGGGTTCGATTCCCCGATGCGGAATCTTTTTGATGGTTCAGGCTTTAGGACTGCTTTTTGGCGGTTAGAGGGATCCGCAGTAACAGTTGGGCAACGCGATATTTTTATGAACGTAGTTGTAACGAACTTCCTCGCGTGCCATCAAACTTAGAAATCGCTTACATTCAATGTCACAAGCCATGTGCCACTTTCCAGGAGGTTTATAACAA